GATGATGGTGAGTGGTGATGATGATGGTGAGTGGTAATGATGATGATGGTGATGATGATGGTTAGTGGTGATGATGGTGCGTGGTGATGGTGATGATGATGATGACAGTGAAGATGATGTTGATAGTGCATGGTGATTAATTTCATAAAATATCAATTAATCTTTTTCACATATTTTCCTTTCAGATAATAATTTACCAGAAGACAAATTCAATGTTGAACTTATCGTACAGTGTATCCGTGTATCTGATAATCCCCAGACACATCATCATGCTCTTCTCCTATTGGCTGTGGCAGCAAACCTCTTCCCTGTAAGTTTTAAGTTATTAGACTAGTGTACTGTAGTTTGATTTCAATATACACACTGATAAATTACTCCGTCTGTTAGTAAATGACGATATATGTGTTCCCCGTGTTTGATGGTCACTGGCCTCATGATATGGACAACACAGAGTATTATACATCTTTCTGATACTAGCATGGAATTGACGCAGTACTAACCACGCTACAAGTAGTGTATGCTTATGGATTTATTTCTATATTTCATTATTCTTATTTTTTTAGGAAAAAGTACTTCACAATGTCATGTCAATATTTACTTTCATGGGAGCAAATGTCATGAGACAAGATGATAGTTACAGCTTCCAAGTTATTAGTAAGACTGTTGATACAGTCATCCCAGCTCTTATACAGGTATTATAAAGTATTAGTCATCTTTGTATTTTATTGATGCCCTGAAACAACCTCTGGGCTAGTCAAAGTCAGGGCAAGGTGAACTCACAGATTCAACCTTAAAACAGACTCTGGGCTGATCTAAGTCGGGGCATGACTAACTCACAGATCAAACCCTGAAACAACCTCTGGGCTGATCTTAGTCAGGGCATGGCTAACCCACAGATCAAACCCTGAAACAACCTCTGGGCTGATCTAAGTCGGGGCATGGCTAACTCACAGATCAAACCCTGAAACAACCTCTGGGCTGATCTANCAGATCAAACCCTGAAACAACCTCTGGGCTGATCTAAGTCGGGGCATGGCTAACTCACAGATCAAACCCTGAAACAACCTCTGGGCTGATCTAAGGCAGGTCATGGCTAACTCACATCTACTGTAGCCTGTTAGGTTTTGTGTAGGGATGAAAACTGGAAACCTTGGAGACCATTAAAACTCTGAAATCAAAGGAGAGTCCTTACTAACTCTATTCACATGCAAAAGTCTAGTTATTTATCCCGAGATCCAAAAGGCTACACCCTTCTTGATTCCCAAGAACATATTCACCTAACCATTGATTTAAGACCTTGTTTTGATATATTTTCTATTTTACTTATTAGGCAGGAGAGAGGCAACAGCTTCCAAAGCTGGATTCTAAGGGATCACCTGCCGTCTCACTGGACGATATTGTTGCCATGGTAATAAGAGTGTTTGTGGATGCATCGCCACATGTCCCAGAGCATCGCCGTCTGCCTGTCTTTTCTCATTTAGTGTCCACTGTTGGTGCGTCAAGGTTTTTGCATGTGACATTGGTACTCTTGTTGGAGAAATATGTCATTCATTCGCCAGAAACAGAAGAGGAGGAGGTTAGTACATTTGCACCTTTTATTTTACAGCTATTACTCCCCATAAAGGGGCTCTTCCATGAGGTTTGAGCACTCCACACACACTACCATTACATTCGCTAATCATAACACTTATCTCACATGTTGATATTCATGGAGGAAGGAAACCGAAGAACCCAGTGAAAAAAACGTGGCAAGGAAGAGGACAACACATTAAACAAATGCAACTCACATATCAAATCATTATTTAAGCAAAACAATTATTTAAACCATATATAACGTTTTTTCAAATTTCTATTGTTATCTTTAATATATAGATCTATTAAGTAAATAAAGGGTTAATCTTAATGAAACTGTCTACTCTTATTACAGGATGGGACTGTTCATTCTCCACTTGATTTAGACTTTTGCTTGTCCTTGTGCCAGGAATTTGAGCCAGAGATCCAGGTAATGTCTGGTCTTTTGAAATCCTATTTATTTAAAGGATTCCTGATCATTTTATCTTTTTTTTACAGGCTGAAGGAGTGCTAAAGCTTTTACAATATCTAACAAAATTACCAGCAGAAAAGACAGATGGTAAGAGAGTCAAACCAGTAAATATTACCTTGTTATAATCATGGCTGTTAAACATTCTATGGGCCAAAAGTTTTACTGCCTGCATAAAAAAGCATTATCTGCAAGTGTCAGGACTCAAAAAACAGCCAGATATCTGACAATGTCGGCCCAGAATTTGGACTTGTTCGGTCAAATAATTGTCTTGCCGGTCATTTTGACCAGTAACGTTGAGCCATAAATGAGGTATGGCCGATATAAAACTAATTTGGCCTGTCATCATGACTGGCAACTTACCGGAATATACTGATTTAGTTTATGTGACACAGTTGTGTGTTAATTTTTTAAAATAAGATCTTCTATTTCTTTAGTTCCTCATCGCACCAGGAGTAACAGAAGATCAACGGCTCTGTTCTCAACCAGTTCACCCCTCTTTGACGTCCAAGCTCACACTGCTAAGCATTTACGACAGTTCAAGTTCATTGCCATGGGTTTCATCTCTACAGTGCTCAGCAGTGACGGCTTTGTTTCCCAGGTAAGTACGAGATAAAAATTCATGTCAGTTCTTTTGCTAAAAGTTTAATATCAGGTGCATCCTATACCTTTTCGCTCCAGTTATGCTCTTGTAATATGTGTATTTTTGTTGTTAGTTACAGGAACAAGAAAGCCATGTTAAAGATTCAATCCAGAATATATACCTAAGGTAATGTCTTATCGACAGAAGGTTCATACAATAGTCCCCTTCACAGCTCCCTGCGCCATCGTTAAAGGTAGCTGTGCCTTTGCATCGAAGCAAGATGAACGGTAAGCTTGCAATGATAAAGACAAGGGAATATTTGTCCAATGTGTTAAAGAAAGTTCTCTATCATTGCAAGCTCACCGTTTGTCTCACTTTGTTGCAAAGGCACCGCAACCTTTCAAGATGGCAGGGAACTGTGAAAGGGATTATTATGTCATGGCAACCATGTTGATTGTCAGGATTATTTTAAATCATCTTCAAACGTGAAAGAGCCTATGGTTTTGGCTTTCAACATGGCTGTCAACATGTAAAAGTATCTCTCGAGATCCTCGACTTGTTTATTAGTATAGAGGCATTATACATGTCTTATATCAACATTTATTTACCTCTGTTACCAGTTTGATAGAAGAGGTGCTTACATATGTAACAACTACATCACAGTATGCCGAGGGACAAACCCAAGGTACTGCAGGGAAGTTTTGGCGTGCACTCTTGCATCGTACATATGACATCATTGACAAGGTAAGACATAACATTGTCTGGTTTAAAGGTGTTTTGTGCTGGGTAAATATATTAAAGATGTAAATTTTGTTTTTTATCAAGTTATTCTTCTTGGGGGAAATCCAAGTTCTCAAGGCAAAATTGGAACTCCGTTTCTTTTTAAAAGGTTGATCCCTTGCTTTGGAGGCATATTATCGATATATAAATTCTTGGACTCAGAGCAAAAAATATTCTAGATTGTATGAGATATTTTTACTCTATCGCACAGTCTTCATCAGTCAGACGAGAGTTGATTCCACTCGTTGTTAAATTATTAGATTGTTGTACACCTTAGGGAGTATTTATCCTTTTCTGCAGTTCATGGTGGGTTTCTGTGCCTAATAGCTGTGGCCTCTTTGCCTTTGAAATTTATTTCCTTAATATTTAGGTTTGTTATAGTATGTTTAAGTAACCTGCTTGTGCTTGGTCAACAGGTCAATCAGTTGTTACCACCAGGGGTGTTCGTAGGTGTGATTCGTCAACTGCTTAGCAATTCTAATTCAACTGTCAGAAGAAAAGCAATGGAGCTGTTGAATACCAAGCTGGGACACAGAACTATTCATCAACAGACACAGGTGAGGATTGTGTTATGGTGATGATGACGTACCATATTGATGATGCTGTTGATGATGATGGTGGTGGATGTGGAGGTGGTGATGATGATGATGCTGATGATGATAATGGTGGTGGTGGTAGTGGAGATAATGTTATGGCAATGATGACATAGCATGTTGATGATGCTGATGATGATGCTGATGATGATAATGGTGGTGGTGGTGTTGGTGGTGGAGATAATGTTATGGCGATGATGACGTAGCATATTGATGAGGATGATGATGCAGATGATGATGATGATGATAATGGTGTTGGTGGTGTTGGTGGTGGAGATAATGTTATGGCGATGATGACATAGCATATTGATGATGATGTTGATGATGCTGGTGATAACGTCATGACAATGACATTTGATGATAATGATTTATATATTTTCTTGTTGCTTAAGGTTGATGAATTCATTCAGCTGGTGGAGGATCTCTTGTCTCTAGTCAAGACATGCGATAACAGTGAAACACCAGTCAACAGGCAGACTGCTCTGTACAGTCTAAAGCTGCTGACTAGAACCCTAGGTGAACAGCAACCTGCTATGTTTACTAAGGTATGACCCATCTATCTATCACATCTTGTTCCATTTATTCATCCATCCTGTTCCATCCATTCATCCACTGTACTATCCCACCCCACTACATAATATCCATTCATCCACACATCCCAATCATCCACCTTTATTTTATCCTCCATCCAGTTATCCATCCCATTCATTCATCTCTCACTTTATCTTGTGTGTTGTATTTCAAGGTGCTTGAAACCTGCATTGAAGTTTTCACCAACAAAAATGAAAACTCCCAGGTTAGTCGTATGACATAAAATGTCATAATATTCTGTCTGTCTGTCTGTCTGTCCGTCTGTCCGTCTGTCTGTCTGTCTGTTTGTCTGTCTGTCTGCCTGTTTGTATGTTTTCTGTCTGTCTGTCTGTATGTATGTTTTCTGTCTGTCTGTTTATCCGTTTGTCTGTCTGTCTGCCTGTTTGTATGTTTTCCGTGTGTCTGTCTGTTTCTTTGCCTGTCTGTCTGTTTGTCTGTCTGTCTGTCTGTTTCTGTGTTTGTCAATGGTCTTCATAACATAACAGTCTGTATATCATTTTGCTAGGTGTCATCTAATGCCTTGCTGTGTCTTGGTGAAGTATGCACAGCCCTCAAGGCTAATGCCATCTCCTACCTACCAAGATTCATGCCAAGACTACTAGAGCTGCTGCAAACAACAGGACAGGACAGGTTAGATCTTGATCTGTGTTACTGTTGCTGGACTACTGAGGTTTCATATTGTCTTTGGGAATAGTTACATACTTCTATCATCATCTACAATGACAACATCATCTTATCATCGTATCCTGATGATGGACCAAAGTTCCCTGAAAGCTTGGATATTACAAATATCAAATTACACATAGAAGAAACGTTTTGATATTTAATTTAACTACAATAAATGAATCTAAACGTTCAAGTTTTAAAAAACTAATAATAGATCAAATTTTAAAAACTTACTAGTTACTCTGATACACTTTACTCTTCGCCCATGGTTTGTTCCTTCTTTTCCTTTATGGGTTTCTCTTTCTTTATTATTATTATTATTTTTTACTCCAATCTAATTGCATTTGTTTTTGGATTTTCCTATTTCTATATTTATTGTAACAATTATCAAACAGTACCAAATGACCTATTTGCTACCTAACTCGATTAGCATTGCTATTTTTAGGTAGCAAGTGGTTCCTCAAATTTTATATACATATATTTTATTTACATTTTATACCTTGAAGATTTTCAAAGTACATCCACTTTCTTTGCTTATTTATTTTCTCATCAAACTCTTCAAACTTCAGAAAGCTAAAAGTTTTGAACGACGTATCATTTATTAAACCATGTTATATTATTGCTTGATTGTTAGGAATGTCCTGATATTGCTGTGTTCAGTCGTTACGTTACATAAGGTCACAGAGACATTACCTAATTTCCTCAGTCCTTACCTTGTCAGCATTCTACAGAGGGTAAGTGAAGAGGTTTCTATTTTTGCTCTTAGGTCCCGATTTTCTATTGAAATTTGCATTTTAAAATTGCTGTTGCTGCTGTTGTTGCTGCTGCTGCTGCTGCTGTTGTTGTTGCTGTTGCTGCTGTTGTTGCTGTTGCTGCTGTTGTTGCTGCTGTTACTGCTGTTGTTGCTGCTGTTGCTGCTGCTGCGGTTGCTGCTGCTGTTGTTGTTGTTGTTGCTGCTGTTGTTGCTGTTGCTGCTGTTG